TCCACATACGGCCTGAATTTCCGAATGGCTAGGATGGCTGCTAGGCACTCCTTTTCCGTCACCGTGTAGTTGACCTGGTGTCTGTTCATTTTGGCCGAGAAGAAAGCGATCGGCTGTTCTGCCCCGTCCTGGTTCCGCTGAAACAACACTGCGCCTACTCCGACGTGGGAGGCATCGCATTGGATGAAGAAATGTTTCTTAAAATCCGCGTGAACCAGGACCGGCGCTTTCGTCAGGGCCAACTTCAGGTCTTCAAACGCCTGCTTGGCGCTAGGACTCAAAGAAAACTTAAGGTTTCCCGACTTCTTCAAGGCTTCGGTTAGAGGAGCCGCTAGCGTCGCAAAATTGTTAACAAAGCGACGATACCACCCTGCCGTGCCAAGGAAGGCTCGCACTTCCTTCATCGACGTTGGATAAGGTATTCTTTGGATTGCGGAAACTCGTCCAGGATCCATGCGCAGCGTTCCACCTCCAACTACGAAGCCCAGGTACGTCAACGACTTGAAGCAGAATTTAGACTTTTTCAACCCAATCGTTAAACCTGCTGCTTTCAGACTCTGCGCCACCCGGTCCAAGTACTTCAGATGCGTCTGGAAGTTTGGAGCCAAAATCAACAGGTCATCTAGGTAGACGAAGACGTTGGTCCTCAGCTCCGCTGGGATCACCCTGTCCATCAGCCGCACCAGACGTTGCGCCGCATTGCACAATCCGAATGGCATCATTCGAAAATGGTACAACGGCCTGCCTGGGACTGTAAAGGCGGTGTACTCCTTACTGCTGTCGTCGAGCTCGATCTGCCAAAAAGCAAACTTCAGATCCACGCTGGAGATATAATGCGTCTGGTCTATCCGTGAGAGGATGCCATCGATGCTGGGCAGAGGGTACGCATCCTTTACCGTCAGAGCATTGAGCTTCCTGGCATCCAGACAAAAACGGTCCTTTCCTGGCTTCGAAACTACAGTCGTGCGATTACTCCAGGGGCTCTTACTCTCCTCGATGACACCCAGCTCGAGCATCTTGTCGATCTCGTCCTCGACCACCTTCTGCTTCGCTGGAGACATGGGATAGGGCCGGTCCTTGAACACTCGGGCTCCCTCAACCAATTCGATGGAGTGTCGCTCCAGGCTGGTCGTGCCAAGACCGTCTCGCTCGAAGGTAAGGAATCCCTCTTTGACCTTTTCTAAAGCCTCCTTCTCCTCCACAGAAAGGCTCCAGGACTCGGGATCCTCCTTCGTCTCGTCCTCGTCTTCCTGCTCGGCGTAATGCTCCATCTGCCTGGCATGGATTTCTTCCGCTTTCTTTCCACCGTCGGGTACGGGCACTCCTACGACTGCTGGAGCAAGACCAAACGTTCGCCAAAAATCGACTCCGAAGTACGCTTCCTGTTCCAGGTATGGGCAGAGATAAAATACTATCTTCTTACTCATCCTTTTGTACTCCACAGGCAGCTCAACTCGACCGATAATCGACCGATCTTCTCCAGCAGCCGTCGTCACCTTCGACAAATAGGGTTGGACAGTCACGCCTAATGCCGCCACCAGACCTCGGCAACCTTTGCCCAGCAAACTGACGCTGGCACCTGTGTCCAGCAAGCCGGTGATTGGCTGGCCAAAAACCTTGACGTTCGCGAAAGGTCGAGGATCCAGTGAGTCCACGCGTCTTACTGCTGCCACTACTTCGCGCCGTCGGGTTCTCCTCATCTTAAAACGTTTTCTCGCCTTCTGGACTTTGCGAGAAACCAGTCGCATGCCACACAGCTGGTGCTCTGCGAAAATTCGGTTTCGAGCCTCCAGATAGCGACGCATCCTCTCCTCAGCTGGTAAGTATCTTAAATCGGTCTTACAACTACTAGGTGGGCTAACTAATTTGTTTTTCTTAGGTACTACTTCGCAGGATTCCTCTCTGGACGATTCCCTCCTGCCTTCGGATCGCCCAGTCTGCCGTTTTCCGCGCAGTCGGGACACTTTGGCAAGACTGTGTCTGGTCGGCCACATCTGTAGCAAAACAGCTTGCGATCCACGGACTCGCACTCACGGAATCCGTGATCAGCGGCACCGCAGTTCCAGCAACCCGTCCGGAACGGATTTCGAGGTCGTCCTCGCAATTCCTCCACGTCGAAGGCGTATGCATCCTCCTGAGGCTCCGGTACGCAAGCTTCGGCCACTCGGGGTCTATCCCCTGCCGGATGACGCAATGGTGGCTGGTACGAGGTGCGTCCTCGGCGACCGAAACTGCGCTCCACCTCAATGCACTCCTGCCGCAATTCATCCACGGTGAATATCTCCATTGCGTAGACAAAGCGCGCAACGCCATCCCTCAAGCCTTTTTTAACGACTTTTACCAACTGCCGCTCCGGCATTGGTTTTTTCAGCCGCGAGGCGAGCTGCTGCATGCAGTGGATAAAATCCTCCACAGTCTCTCCCGGCTGCTGTTCCCGCTGGAGGAGCTCGTGCATCCGGTCATGCTCCGTCTGATGCCCTCTAAATCTGTCGATAAGGGCTCGGCGCAGCTGCAGCCAACTGTCGACTCGGGACTGTCGCACATGGACCCAATACCATTCCTTGGCACGACCGGTGAGGAACACGTGGAAGTGCCTCAAAACCTCTTGCCATGGACACTGGTGCTGTCGCTGCAGGAATTCGATTCGGAAAACGAAATCTTCCACCGAATTTCTCTCGTCATCCCCGCCGAACGAAACGTTCCAACGGTCCACTTTTGGATACCGACTGCTGCACCCAGTGCCCACGTTGGCATACGTCCGATGGTCGTCCAAAAACTCATCCGCCCTGTGGTCCTCGACACGCCAGGCTCGCCCATGGATATCCTGCCTCCTGCGCTGCTCGACTTCCAGCGGATAATCCGGACTGCTGCTGGTCCACTCCGACGCTGCTTCGGCTCTTCTGTGTGGCTTTGGCGGCACCAGTGGAGGCGGACGACCCGGTCTGCATCCTTTAGGGATGGCACCCTGATTCTGTTGCGCTGGCTCTTCTGCTGCTGCTGGTTGCTGCTGCCGATCCACCGGAAGAGGCAGAGGATTTCCTGGCCTGATGACATCGTTGAGGAGCTTCATCATCTCGAGGAAACCACTTCGGATTTCCTCCCTCAACGATTGGCTGACCCCGGCCTCCTGCGCCTTCCGATACGTCTCTGCCGCCTGTGCTACCGCCAAGTTCGCCGCGGACTTCTCCTCCAAACCGACGTTGGCAAAATCGAGCTGCCTTGGCTCGATGGGATTCGGGAGGTTGATGCGTTCCCGAAACCGCTCCACCGGCGTCCTCGGCAATCCTCCAGCCATCGACACGCGCTCTCCCCCTGCAGCACCCTCTACGTCCGTAGACCAAATCGAGTCTTCATCGATTCCGGGAGGACCCATCGATCTTAGCTGGTGGTCGTGCCTATCATTTGTTTCTCTTGGCATGTTTTTTTTTTATTTTATATATAAATCTTTAAAACCTAATACCACAACAACACTCTTATAAATTACGCGAACTATAATCAACAAAATTTACTAATAAATAATTGTAATAAATAAATAGATGAACTTGTATGAAATAAATATACCCTCAATAAATAAATAAGTAAATAAATATCACAATAAATAATAAGCAATGGCAAAATAAATAATGAAATAAATAGCAGAACAATCAATAACAGAATAAATGAATAAATTATGAAACAAACAAAAACATAACTCCTGTAATAAATAATAATACCCAACAAACACCACTAACTTCTAAACTCTTCGAGCCACCAGATCACTAATCTCTTTTCTCCTATATATCTTCCAGGTCTACCGTAGGGAGATGGAATTTATTGTCGCCGGTGGACTTCCGACCATTGAATACTACGCATTTCCCAAAATCCTCGAAATTTCCGCCCCTCTCGCAGCCGCTCGTCAACTGGTCTAGCTATCACCTTAAGTGATAGCCGCCAGTTAAAGACATCGACTGCTACTGGACTGCTGTTGGTCTTCCTCCTCAACTGCGGTTTCCATCGCAAATCGAGGGACTCGTGCATCGCGTGGACCTCCACGGGCCACGAGTACCAATTAAGTTGGCAAACCGACAGGAAATTGAAAACCCACAGGAGGAAGAAAACCAAGGAATCCACACCTCATTACCGACAAGCAAAACACAAATATAAATAAATAAATTAATATTACACCTGTCAGACAACAAAAAAAAATATATAAATAAATAATTTTTACAAAAAATAACGGCAAAGAAAATGACTCTATTATCTGTATATCACAGTACAAATTTTCGGAGACCGAGAGCAATTTGCCAGAATAATTCCAGCCAAGCCTCTTGGCCTCCTCAGCTAATCCTTAGTTCGCCAGTCCCCCATCACGATGCAATTGCAACTTCCTTGCAAGCCACCGTTCCGGAGGACTGGCCAACTAAGCCTCGCGTTCTCCTCAGCTTCTCCTTGGTTCGCCAGTCCCTCATCCCGATGCAATTGCAATTTCCTTGCAAGCCACCGTTCCGAAGGACTGGCCAACCAAGTCAGCTCCTCGCGAGACGTCGTCGCCTCGACCATGTATATATTTTTTTTTTTTAAATTGGGCGCCACTTTATTTTACGAACTGCTTTTGGTGGGCAGTGCCGCTAGCTCAGCGATCTCATTTGGGCCAAGTTCTCCCCAATTGCCCGCAGTCCGACAACATAAAATACTAACATCGATAACGGTCGTCTCACAACACTAACTTTCTGCGATCACTAACAAAATGAAAACAAACAAAAATTTAAATTCAAACATTAACTCAGGCGGCGGAAATTTTTGGATCTTTGAGTGGCCTTTGGTGTCCTGGCCATTGCGTACCCACCCTACCTAGGATGTTTCGTAAGCATTTATTAAAACATCGCCCATAATGGGTCAGTAAGTCACTCCAGGCAACTAATTTACTTCCATCTCCCCCACAGAAAAAGGTCTAGCAATTCATCAGCATTATAAATTGGTCTTTAATCATTCATGTGAGTACAGATATTTAACATTTCGCATCTAATTCATTTCCTCAAAATCTATTTGTTCATCTAACCTCAGAATCGCCAATCAACCGCCGTATCAGTATATTTAGCGGTCAAAGCTAAATTTAAGAACAAGGAATGGACACTCTCCGACAAAAATGTTCTGCCACCCTTGTATCGGCAGAACTCTCTGGGTTACGCGGCTTAAATTAAGGTTACCTAATCCTGAGGAGCTCCAAGGGAAAAGAAGGGACGCCGAAAGGTATGGGAGATTTACACACTCGATTCCTTCATCCTAATTAATTGCGACCCTTTTATTTTAGCAACCGTCGATCAAGGGTGAATCTTTGGAAGGACGCACAATAGACTTAACAATATAAGGTATTTAAATTCTTAAAAACTACACATTATTTTAATTGATTTTCCTCAATTTCAGGAAGTGGTGGGTTTGGGCTCGGCCCACCAGAAAATCGCACCACCAGGAACTCGGAGGCTTATGGAATTTGGCTGGCCAACCTCGTGGTACCAACCAGTTGCGCATAAGTTGGCCACTATCGGAGGCACCCCGACGCGGAACGGACTCACCGGAGATCTGGAGTCCTAGAGGGTCGACTTGGGTTTGATGCCGTGGTTCTTCAAACGGTTCCTCCAAACGCACGTTCTCCTCAGGGAACTTCGTAGTTGTGTCTCTCCGAAAAATGTTATAATTTTGTGTTGATCGAAAAACTGTGGCCTCTCCAGAATATTTATATTTCCATATGTTATATGTATATATTTGCTCCACAAAAAAATTGTATTTCCTTCGGCGAAAAAATAACCGTCGAAAAAAATGTGACTTCTTCAAAAATGTATTCCTTGCCAAAAAAAAATCCCGGGGCCCTTTATTGGGGGACCCCGGTTTCCCTAAACAAAATAAACATTTATATTTTTTAAAAGAAAACTTGCACAAAAAAAAACTCCAACTCACTTTTTCACAAAATTTGCACAACCACTACGAGGTTAAATTCCCACGTCTATCGTGTCCGTCTTTTCTTGTACTACTACCGGTGATCCGTATAATCACGCCATGTTCCCTACCATCTTTCCCCAGGCTCTCTCGAAGATGGGTCAACGGACATTCCCAAGGCCATCTAAGAGAAATCCCAATTGGAATATTCTATATAATAGATAAGTAGAGAACTTGCCCCTGGGCCAAAAGAGGGCGCTGCTCTAACCATCACTACCTGTTCTAAACTATCGATAGCGGCCCTCCCGGAATCGACTCCAACTGCAACAGACATTAAAAACAGCATAATGGCCAGTCTCAAGGACAAAATGCCTAGCTTAAAAATGGACACAGCCACCCGGTGTAATCGTGGGATCTTGTGCGTAAATGTGCAATATATTCACGACACTGGTATTGCGATAAGGACCTTGGGCCTTATTGATTTAAAGATGTCGCACACGACCAGAAACATTTGCTCTGAAATTGAGTCACTGCGGAGCAAATTCGCGATTCAGAAGCAGCAAATATACACCATAACCACGGACAATGGCCGAAATATGGTGAAAGCAGTTGAGCTGCTTAATGATACGGAGAGTGCTGACATTGACGAGGACGACGAGGATGAGGAAGAGCTAATGTTTAATACTAGCATTGGTTCCATCACCTCCGTACGTTGTGCAGCACACACCCTTCAGCTAGCTGTGAAGGACTTCCTGGAAGACTTGGAAGCAGCTGATTTTATTTGTAAAGCGCGAAAGCTTGTGAAGCTGTTAAGGACGCCAACCTACAGGTCTGTTTCATAACATTTTATTTATTACCTTTTATAAATTAAATATTTTTTTTATATATACCTATTTAGGCATTTGATAACTGGGGCAGCATTACCGCAGCCTGTAATTGATGTTGCGACTCGATGGAGCTATGGATATGTTGAGTAAACTGCTGGGCTTTGAGACCTTTTGCGAGCGCCACTTCAAAAATTCAATGAAGCTGACTCTGACTGAGTGGTTGGATTTAAAACAATTGGTGGAAGCTTTGGAGCCAGCTTACTTGACAACATTGCAATTTCAAAGCAGCCAATTATTTATGAGCGACTTCTACAAGCTTTGGATGGAACTCAAGCTCACAGTCGGGGCAAAGCAGACAACTCATAGTAAAGCGTTAAGGCTTGCTATTGAGGCGCGAGAAGAAAGCCTGTTAGCAAATAAAGTCGTCATTTGCAGCCTCTTCCTGGACCCACGCTTACGTCGCATATTGCTGCAACACCCTGAAAACGTGATGCGCGCGAAAACGGAGCTTAAACAGCTCTTACGCCAACTGTGGCAGTTGAAGGAAAAGGTTAGTAAATTCATTTTATATAAATAATAAGCAATAATTAAATCAACATACATATTAAATTTTCAGATTGATACAGATGAAGCCTGCTCAACCTCTAGCTTGACAGAGACCAATTTGCTTTCGCAAAATTCTCAGTCTTCCTCGCTCTTGACCGAGCTTTTAAGTAGCATTGAGGAAGCTGACGATGATGGGCAGCAGGAATTATGAAAAGGATATGCTGAAATTGATAGTTACAGCCCGAAGTCCATCAGCCTAGGCGCTGATATAATGCAGTACTGGAGTGAGAAGCAATTTCAGTACCCAAATTTATATCAGCTTGCTAAGGTGGTGCTTGCGGTTTCAGCTACCCAAGTTAGCGTAGACCGTGCCTTTTCTGCGCTTAAAATAATGCTAACCGACCAAATGTGCAACTTGTCGAGCGAGTCGCTGTCAAAATTGTTATTCCTAAAATTAAATAAAAATTATAAAAATACATAAATGCATAATAAATTGAAAATTAATGTACCTAATTGTTCTACTGGTTGATCATTATGATGATTATCATCTTCAATATCATTATTATCATTGTTTTGGTAATTGTGTATATCTGCTGCTGCTGCTCTGTATGTAACAGTTGACCTTATATTAAATAATTGCAACAAACATAGGTAAAATACATTTCGTTGTTGTTGTTGTCAATTGTTGCTCTAGGGTCCCTTTATAAGGACATAGGACAATATTGGCAATATCCTTAAAGGATCAAAAGTTGTTGCTTGGTGAGTTTTATTTTGAGCGAAAAAAATAAAAATCACGAATAATCATTATTTTTGAGTTTTATTTTTTTTGCTCAAGCTTAATGATTATTTGTGATTTTTATTTTTTTTGCTCAAAAATAATTATTAGTCTTGATTCAAAAAATTAAAAATCGATAAGTAATCATTACAAAGTAATTTTTAAAATATTACTTATAATGATTACTTGGAATATTGTATTTATTTAAATGAACTCAAAATGTCTTTTTTTTTTTAATTACGGTATTTAGTTATCGAACCTTCTCTCAATGATACTAACGACAAGTATTCAAATATTAGCCTAATACATATAATTAATTAATTAAAATAATTTTTTTTTTTTTTTTTTTGTATAACGGCCCTAGCTATTGTTGCTGGGTGGGGAGATCTCTTCGCCGGAGTCGTGTGTGGCTAGTGTTCCACGTTAAAGACCGCGCCAGCCTGTTTGGATGAGCCTGTAGCTTGATCGTATACTTTGCTTTTACTTTGTCGATTTCCTCTTTAACAGATCCCTCGATTAAGTCCTCGTGAATATTTTCATTTCGTATGTACCACGGTGCACCCGTTATTGTTCTTAGTATTTTTGATTGGGCTCTCTGGATCACTTCTAGGTTACTAACGCATGCGTTCCCCCATAGCTCGGAGCCATACTTCCAAATTGGTTTGAGAACTACATTGTACAGAAGTACCTTGTACTCCAATTTAAGCGGAGAGCGAGCATTTATTAGCCAGTGTAGGCTTCTTGCTTTTAATTTTAGTTGCCTAAAATTGTGCCTTCTCCAGGTTAGCCGTCTATTAAGGTGGACTCCAAGATCCGTTACTTCCGTTGTTTGTGGAATATAGATGTTGTTCAGAGATGGTGGGGGCAAGTTTGTCTATTAAGGGTAAAAGTAACGTGTTTGCACTTTTACTCGTTAACCTTTATGCGCCAGTCTGCTAGCCATTTCTCCAAAAGCCCGAGATGGGCTGATAGATTTTGCGTTGCTCTCATAGGGCACTTAGATCGACTTAGAATGGCAGTATCATCAGCGAATGTTGAAGTTATTGTAAGGCCGGTTGTCGGAAGGTCTGCTGTGTAGATTATATACAGCGTTGGTCCAAGCACGCTTCCTTGAGGTACTCCAGCTTCGATTGGATGGTAATCGGAGAGAAAAACTTTACACCGTACAGCGAAACTTCTATGCACAAGATATGACTCCAGTATTTTGTGGGTGTTCTGTGGTAGCAGATTTTGAATTTTATAAATCAAGCCGTCTAACCAAACGCGGTCGAAGGCCTGGGCGACATCCAGAAAGACTGCGGAACAGTACTCTCGACTTTCAAATGTATTTCGTATCTTTGCGGTTATTCGGTTTACTTGTTGAATGGTTCCGTGTTTCTCGCGGAAACCAAATTGGTGGCTTGGGATGGCATTTTGGGACTGCAGGTGTTCTTTTATACGATTCAGCAGAAGCTTTTCAAATATCTTTGATAGGCACGGCAGAAGACTGATTGGCCTATATGATGAGGGCTGGGACTTGTCCTTTCCAGCTTTATGGATCATAGTGATAACCAGGGCTAACAGAGTTATGTTCTTTAAAACGTAAAAATATGTATGGATTTATGGACGAAAAAATAGAGAAATATGGACGAAATATGGACGAAAAAGTTGACAAATATGGAATAAAATGGATAAATATGGATAAATATAGGTAGTATAGACGAAACAAGGGATAAATATAGGTATAAAAATGGATAAACGTAGACGATAATATCGATCATCAGGGGCGTAGCTACCGCCGTATATGCCGTATCCATTATACGGGGCCCCCGGGTCACGGGGGCCCCCAAAGTGTGGAAGAGTGAATATTTAAAATTTGATTTTTATTTGTAAAATGGGTAAATAATCTGATAAATAAATATTTCTTCTCACAATATTTTTTATACCCTTGCAGAGCAAAAGGGTATTATAATTTCAGTCAGAAGTTTGCAACGCAGTGAAGGAGACACCTCAGACCCCATAAAGTATATATATTCTTGATCAGCATCACGAGTAGAATCAGAATACGTCTGTACGTCTGTCCGTTTCCGCGCAAACTAGTCTCTCAGTTTTAAAGCTATCTTGCTGAAACTTTCCCAAAAGGTGTGTAGTTATTGCACGCAGTATATAAGTCGGAACGGACCAGATCGGCCGACTATATCGGATAGCTCCCATACGAGAGAATGAAATTAAAAATTCTCACGCCGTTGTTTTTGATCAGATCCGAGTATAGCCGTCTTTTGAACAATAGTCGAAAATATAGAAAATGAATAGAAAAATCGTCTTAGCTTCGATGTTGTTTAGCCGTTATGTATTTTTTCGACATATTTGATGACTGCAAGGGTATAAAAGCTTCGGTTTGCCGAAGCTAGCTTCCTTTCTTGTTTTCTTTTGTGAAAAATCTTTACCTCCATATAAGGGCCTCCAAAAAATTTTTTATACGGGGCCCCGACAAGGCACGCTACGCCACTGGGAGAGAGAAAGAGAAACGCTCGCGGGTGACGGTCAGATATAAGAAACATTTTTTCTGATTTTTAATGGTGTCATCAAATCGTAATTTGCATCAAAAGTTTGCCCTTGATTGGGTTTTTAGAGCAATTAGTGGAACAGACGAGTCGCGGAAATAAAGCAAAGCACCCAAAGGAAAAAATATCGGGGGAATTTGCAAAATTT